GAGCACTGCAATATGCCAGCGGCGTCTCGTTCTTGCCCCGTCGCCGCAGCCTGAATCTTCTCCGAACATTAGACGGGGGATAAAAAATAGCGGCCATCTCGGTGTAGGCGCATGCGAGGGTCGCTCTATCCAACTTGGGGATGGCGAAAAAAGCGACTAACGAGTCATCATCGAAGGCCTGGGATGTCCATCCCACCGAGATGTAGGCAGCCTCAAATTGACGACAAAAAGCCGTCCAATCTCCTCCTGCAGCAGTGAACTATTGCACTGGTGGCAACCGTCGGAGCTTGGGAACGACATCCACCTTGGAAGCCAGCGGCCTGCTACTGCGGCACGGGCCAATCATCCCCAATTTGCGGACGAGTGGAGCATGGCTGCAGCCCCCAAAATGGCAGGAAGATCCAGCACTCCAGTTGCCTCAGTCATGACAGGGGCCGGAAGCGCGTCTTGGCGTTCCAGTGGAAATCGCAGCAGTCATCCACTCAAAAAGATGAGCGGCAGCCGACAGCAACCTCTCCAGGTGACCGGCGATGTCCAGCCAGCTCTGTGGAAGAGGTGGCTGGGCTGGACTTGCCATGCACTCCTGAGCCGAATGAAGCACGTCGTCGGAGCAGGCACTTGGAGCTCCGGCAACCGGAGCCGTTGGAGGGACGACGTCTTGCTCGGCGTCGTCGTCGGACAACTGCAACAGGTGGATTTTTTATGTTTTATCGTCGACTTGGACATGACAGCGCAGGTTCATTGGCACTTCTAACACCAAATGTAGTGTTTTAAAAAAATACTCACACCAACACGTTGTAACAAGTCACCTGCTTACACATTATTCACCTATTCTTGCACCAGTTGTAGGCACACTCCTATAACTATCTATACGGTCACTTACGTTTAACTTCTCCCACTCCTATCTACCTTCCACCTCACTTATCCTGAACTCGGCAGCTCTGCTCTCAGTGACTCCGCACACAGCGTCATCGCACACAGCGTCTTTGCACACAGCGTCTCCGCACACAGTGTCTCCGCACACAGCGCCTCTACACCTCCACCGCTGTCCTCACCTACGCTCCCTCAGACCCACTCACCCGTCTGTCCCAGGCGGGGGATCAGCCAACACCCGCCCAGTGATGGCATGAGGGTTGAGGTCCCATTGACGGCTGGAGTGACAGCGTCGAGATGTCTTCACACTTGGTCCACGGCAACAACTCCCTGCTCCGCTCATGCACACGCCCTTATATTCCTCTACCAATTATCCGAGACCTCTCGTGTGTCTCTTTAGGCTCTTGCCAGGCTGGCGCCTGTTGGCCCATCAATCGACCCTTATCTCCCGTCTCCCTGGCAACACCTCCGGTCTCAACGTGTTGCCCCCGAGAGAAGATGTGCGCCTGAATTGGACCTGTTACAACTGGTGACAGAAGTGAAGTATAGTTTTTTTTCATAGACATAGGTTAGCTAAAATGTCCACGTGTCGAAGACCATGTGCCAAGTCGTTGTCAGAGGATGAGGACGGTGAGGGATTTATCCCACAAACAGCCCAGGGGTCGGCAGCCCCGGAGCGAGGTGACGCTGCCGGCGGAGCAGCAACAGGATGAACGCCGCGTCGCCGCTTCGCCTCGGCGAGAGAGCATCCGGTCGTGCCGCGCCCGTATCGCCGAGCTTCTGGTGGCTAAAGCGGCGCTGCTCACCGGTCCTCGACGAGGAGGAGCCGGCGGTGGAAGTTGGAGCACCGGAGCTGGGGAAAGTCGAGCCAGCTGCTGCTGCTTCCGCACGCAGGAATCTTCGGTCGCGCAGCCCTCGCGTGCGGCCGCCATTTTGGCACTCGGGCGGGACAAGGAGCCCGCCAAAATGGAACTCCTGCTGAAACTGCCTGTGGAGCTCCTGTTACCCAAGCGCCGGCTGCCGTTCGTCAAGGAGTTCACGGGTGATTGGGACGCTTTCCGGCGCCGCCTTCACTGTGACCTGTGCTTTGGCGGAACTGGACTGAGGCGGAGGCGCTGAGGACGCTTCCGCCGTACTGGAAGACGACACCTTGGCGGCATTCTGCGCTGTCCCGCCAGCGGAGAGGGCCACACTGGCACTGGCCTTCGTGCAGATGGCGTCGATATATGACCCGCATCGAACGTTCGCCAAAAGTTTGTCGCGCGGAGGCGGGGGGAGGCCGAGACACCCCTCGCCTTCCGCAGCGCACTGTTTGGCACTGGCGCAGGTGGCTTTTCCCCAAATGGAGCATGATGGGATTGACTCTTTAGTATTAGAACGTATGCTGGAACTCGTCCTGCAGGCTACAGAAGACGATGAATTAACATGACTCAAAATCGCACAGTGCATTCAAGCACACTGCAATCTACGACGACGCACGCAAGTGTGGCGTGCACCGCACCATCTGAGGGGTTCGGTGCACCCGAAGAGGCTGAGTCCACCAGGCCTGCACTTCGGTCGATGGGTGTGGTTGGCGGAGGGGAGACATGGAGTGATGAGGGGGATGCGACCGGTGGCGGGGGACCTTCTCTCGTCCAGGGGGCGGCCCCATCCGCTGCTATAACTGCGGTCTGCCGGGGCACGTCGCATCAGGATGCCGCGCCACAAGGGGAGGAATCTCCGGGCCGTCGTTGTCATTGTCACGGACACCCTCAACTCCGTTTGGTCATAAGGCAAGTCGTGGTACACCTCACACTCGACCCGTGCAACCACCTCATTCATCGCATTCGTGCGTCAATTCGCGTTCAGGCATCGGGCGCTCTCACCGGGGCGCGGGGCGGGTAATTTCGATTCTGCCGGGAGACAGCTGGCCACACCGTCCTGGTCAGTGGTCAGAGTTGGCCCACCAGGTGGTCGCCGGGGCGGCGGGATCGTCAGCTGTTGTTGGAACAATAGAGGGGTTGGAGGTACGGGTGCTCGTTGACACCGGAGCATCCGCTACCATTATTTTGGAATTGTTTTACAATATTTTGCCCCAGAAGTCTCGCTCCCTTTGCCCTGTGTTTCGCTGCCAGTGGCGGTTCGTTGGGCATTATTGGCCAGATCTCGGCGGAGGTGTCTATTGCTGACATTAAATTAACGGGGCTGGTTCTGGTTTCGACATCCCTGGCTGTGCCCTGTTTGCTGGGGACCGATTTCCTGGGGAAGATGCCCCCAAGGATCCTTGTTGACCATGGATGTCTTGAGTTGCCGTCGGGCCATCGTATCACCTTTCTTTCGTCCCCCACTCGATTGTGCACGACTAATGCCACGGTTCAGGCGTTGGCGAGCAGAACGGTTAAAATCCCCTCCGGTACGCAAATGCTTGTCCCCTTGCAGCTGCGTAAACAGCTTGACCGGGAGGCGACCATGGGAGGGATCCTGTGAGACCCTCGAATAAAATAGGTCAGGGCTTGATGCTGGTTTGGGGCTCTGACATTGGTTTTCCAGCAACCAAGAGCCCTTTATTCAAATCCTTAATGCTGGGTCGAATGCATCGGTTATACAAGCGGGCACTGTACTGGCCCATGCGTCGGCTGCGAGTTGCGAGGGGAACATTGTTGGTGGCGTTGGGGTCGCGTCGGCTACAGAGTGGAAGCAAAGTGGTGATGATGGATGAATACACTCTGTTCCGGAAACCCTGATTTGTGAGACGCTCAGAGGACGTGTGCTTTTATGAGAATTTTCAGTAAAAGTAAATTTGACATTGGCTGTACCACCCTCTTAAACCACCACATCGATATGGCTAACGCCGCTCCCATTCGTCAGAACCTCTATCGGTTGAGCCCCACAGAAAAAGACCATGTGTGGCAGGCGGTCGACAAAATGTTGGCCGCGGATGTGATTTCCCCTTTCACCAGTCTGTGGGGAGCGCCTATAGTGCTTGTTAAAAAACATGATGGGAGCTTGCGTTTTTGCGTCGACTTCCGCAAGCTTAATAGAATTTCCGTGGCGGACGCGTACCCCCTCCCGCGAATGGATGATTTATTTGATGCTCTGGCGGGGGCATTTTTTTTTTTTACACTGGTCCTACTATCGGGATTCTGGCAATTGCCTTTGGAAGAATGCTCAAGGCCTAAGACCGCCTTTCGTACACTGCAAGGGTTATTTGAGTTTAATCGACTTCCGATGGGTCTTCACTCGGTGCCGGTGATGTTCCAGAGGTTCATGGAGCTGGTTTTGGCAGGACTCCAGGGGGATTCCTGCCTGATATATCTGGACAGCATCATTGTGTTTAGCCGCACATTCGAGGAGCATTTGCTGATTGGCATGTTTTGTTCACGTGGCAACCCTTACTGATTGGCTGTGTAGGGTTTCAGTTTTCAGTTTTATTTATTTGGTGGTGGTGGGTTAACCAGACATTTATATTTACATGATATTACCCTAAAAACTTTATACAAATACAAGAGTGGAGTGAATCAGTGGGTGGTGCTGGTTCCCTCAATCTGACTGGAGAATCAGACCAGTGGCACAATTTTGCTATCACCCTTGTGGGGTTGATGGATCATGCAGGTTAAGAAACACGCATTTATTTAGATTATTTGGCTTATATAAATGCCCATATGAAAAGCCACTTCGTTGAGCTATCATTTGTGATAGCCAGGTTGCTTCTTAAAAAGAGCTGCATAGCTCAGCCGGCCTTACCTGGTTATGATAAATATAGTTTAGTTTTATTCGTTTTAGTGATTTGCTCACCTTTCCAATACTTTGCATTCCAAACGTGTTTGTATTATTTGTTCTTGTTGTAACGTTCTGACCCCGTGCCCCCTACTGGACATCTGTGTAAAAATAGCTTTTTAGCTCATCGGATTCCTCTTGTAGTATAAAGTCGTCACCGATTCTGGGGTTGGGATGTACCCGTGACGTCACCACGCGGGGATGAATCAAACGCTCGTCATTATTTGTGACGTTATTTCCCGATGACGTCAGCGCGTCGATGTCGAGACAATGACGCCATTTACTCGATCTCGATATGATGACGTAATCGCGACGTTGTGGGACCAATGACGTCATCGCGGTGTCTCCCCCCCACCCTCGAAGTTTTTTTGAGGGGATCCGGTTCCCCGCTCAACAGCTGTTCCGCCGGTTCCCGGATCCGGTTCCTCTGAGCAAGTGTCACCACCTCGCCCCCGTCTCGCCGCGCCAAGTCTCGTCGTAGCGTCTCAACGCCTCTCCTCTCTCTCCCTCTGCTTGCAGCCGAAACAACTCCTAGCGCGTGCTGCGGTTGCAGTGGTTGGTGGTGGTGGGTATCGTGGCCTCGCTGGCTATGCCGCGGCGGCGGCGTACGGGCCGCTCTGTTGCATCCGCACCGCGCGGACGCCGCTGCTGCTGCCGCTGCTGCTGTGGGTTCGCTGTGGGGTGCATTCGCGTTCGAAGCCTGGCACCGAACCTCGGCGTTTAAACGCCGCCGTATCCCGCGCCCGGCTACTCGCGGGTCGGTCCGTGGTCGGGAATTCGCCCGAAGAAGCCTGCACGGCCTGGAAGGTGGTGAGTGGCCTTTTTTGTCATGTTTGGCGTGTTCGTCGTTATCGGTGTTAGCGTGCAAGAGCAAACCTTGTCGATCTACTGCTGGATGAAGGTGGCCTGCGCCGACTCGTGCGAGTTCGTAGGGAGTCACTTTTTCATACTTCACGCTGGTCAGTGCGGGGAGACATAGCCGTGGCGACATAGATAGTAGAAATGCACCAACGGTGTTTGCGATGTTGGTAGGGATCGGACAAGATCCTAGGCTGAGTGGATAACAAACACTAAGCCCATGCAGATAGGTAATCAACACGCTATCTGGACCACCTACGGGCCACCACGCAGCCATATACGGCGGTCGACTCGTTAACGCCCCGATTTCGGTGGGTATTGCACACCCTCGCTTCACGAAAGGGATGCGTTAGTTACTCACAATGTAGGCATGTGTTTCGGATCGTCCTTCCAACTCTTACAAATACAAATATACACGCCTATATCGCTTTTCACAATACAAAAATAACGAAAATAAACAGTAAAACTATTGAACCATTAGTGTATTTTAAACAAAAGTAATTAAATCTTTTTAGGGAACTCGCTGAATGACTGGCAATGTCATGTGGAGGCGCTTTTTGTAGCTCTAGGGACACCGTGACGCTGTCGTTGATGGGTGACGCAGCCTCCCGGGTGCTCCAGTTTGTACTGTATGTTGAACTTTTTTCGCACCGTACGTAGCCCACCGTGCTAATCGTCGGTGCAGTGTTGAGTCTGGTAGTTGTCAGTCTTTGGGAAGTATTATGTGTATTCAACTTTTTTCGCACCGTACATAGCCAACCGTGCTAATTGGAGGTGCCGGGGAAGTACAGCAAACTAAACGCAAAAAGCAGTTCAAAAGAAATGAGTTTTCAATCTCGATGTAATGATCTCATGACGCGCGTGCCGTAATGAAATCCGTTAACGCGGAAATTCGATTTTGTGAATCAGAAAGTGTCTAATTTGTAAATTGCATTAACGCAAAATGTCGTTAACCGATCGTGTCGGTAACTGTACCTGGAAGGACATGTGCTTCAGAAACATTGATGAAAAATACCGAACAAAAATTCAAAAGTGCGCAAAACACGTGCTTGATAAGAGAACACGCAGATTAAACAAAACCAGAAATAAAAGCAACAAAAAACTTAATGCACACGTCAAGAACACTGCATTTTGAAAAGGAGAAATATATAATAGGATAACGTTTTGAGCAATGGCCCATCATCTTATTTCTTCTACTTCTCTATCATCTCTAATGTATAAAAGTCTCCGCGCGCGCTTGCAAGGGATTTGGCTTCACGTCGAAAAATATTTGCCAGCCAGCACACCCTAAGCCCCGCGGTGGGAATAGGCTATTCCTTTTTCATGTCCGTCACCTTTAAATTAGTTAAATTAGCGTTTTTTGGTCAATTGTATGAATTTATTTAGTTAGTTTATCTATTATTTATTTATTTCCCTTCGCCGCGTGCTGGTTAACAATGCAGCCTGCTACACTTGCGCACAGCACCCAAGAGGTTACTCCCAGCAATCCACACGCGCCATCGTCCAAGGTAAGTCGCACACTTTTCTAGTATATGCATTTATATAAGACGTCAGTCTCACTAATTAGTCTTTTAAGCATTTATCTAATTACACTTTGCACTGCTCACATAGGTTGCCCCGAGCAACACACACACGATTGCCACAAATTTTCATTCGCCTTACCCATGCAGCAAAAACAGACGCACCACGTAAATTCTTCATAGTGCGATGTTCTCTTCTCCCCACCCCAGCCCAATGATACCCCAATGAGTCCTGAAACTGCTATAGAGCCTCTAAATATCATTCTTATAGCGCTTGCATGCCGTTATTGTCGCGTGGCCGGGGGGAGTGGCCCAGCCCCCAGCCTGCCAAGGTGATACCTTGGCGGGCTGGGAAATCTAGGCAAGGCCGGGGTCTCTGCACGGGACTAGGCCTCACCACGGCTCTCTGTCTGCTTACTACTTTGTGCTATAGATTCGATATATACTGCTATACAGTCAGCATGTACTACTGTAGTGCTAGCAAGTACCATCACAGTCACTATGCACTGTTGTAATCATAGCAGGTACCACCACTTTTGTTTGCCCTGCTGTAATCATAGCAGCTTACACCACAGTATGTACTGCTGTAGGGAAAGTAGCTACCACCACAGTATGTTTTGCTGTAATTATAGCAGGTACCGCCAAAGTAAATATGCACTGATATAGTGAAACCAGGTACCACCAACGTCGCTATGCACTGCTGTAGTGATAGCAGGCACCCCCACAGTCGGTATGCACTGCTGTAGTGAAACCAGGTACCAAAGTCCGTGTGCACTGCAGTAGCTAAAGCAGGTACCACCACTATACGCACTACTGTAATTATACCAGCTACCACCACAGTCAATATGCACTGCTGTAATCATAGCCGGTACCAGAAACATTCAGTATGCACTGCTGTTATCATAGCAGCTACCACCACAGTCAGTATGCACTGCTGTACTAATAGCAGGTACCACCACAGTATGCACTGCTGTATTAATAGCAGGTACCACCACATTCAGTATGCACTGCTGTAGTAAAAGCAAGGACCACCACAGTCGGTATGCACTGCTCTTGTGATACCAGGTGCCACCACTGTCAGTATGCACTGCCTTTGTGATAGCAGGTGACATCACAGTCACTAGGCACTGCTATAGTGATACCACGAACCACCACAGTCGGTTTGCACTGCTGTAGTTAAAGCAGCTACCACCATAGTCTGTGTGCACTGTTGTAGTGAAAGCAGGTACCACCACAGTCGGTATGCACTGCTGTAGTGATAGTGCATACCGTCGATGTGTGTGTGCGTAAGGCCATGTGTGTGTGGTAGTCAATGTGTGTGCATCTTGTGCGTGTGTAGACAACTACTCTTTTTAAATTAAGTTACTTCTTTTCACAATGATGATGCCTGCGTCTAAGTCCATGTGTGGGTCGATGTGCGTGTCTGCGGCGATGTGTGTAAGTTGATGTGTCTGTGTGTGTGAGTCGATATGTCTGTGTGTTTGTGTTAGTCGGTGTGCGTGTGTGTTAGTCGCTGTGTGTGTGTCGCTCCATGTGAGTCAGTGTAAGTACATTTCTTTCTGTGTTTGTGTTTTGGTCCATGTGTACATGTGAGTCCATGTGTGTGTCTGTACGTACATGTGTGTGTGTCAGTCCATGTGTGTGTGGCTGTATGTGCGTGTGTGAGTCCATGTATGTTTGTATGGGAGTCTGTGTGTCAGAGTCGATGTGTTTGTGTGTGTGAGTCGATGTGTTTGTGTGTGTGAGTCGATATGTCTGTGTGTTTGTGTCAGTCGGTGTGCATGTGTGTTAGTTGCTGTGTGTGTGTCGCGCCATGTGAGTCAGTGTAAGTACATTTCTTTATGTGTTTGTGTTTTGGTACATGTGTGCATGTGAGCCCATGTGTGTGTCTGTACGTACATGTGTGTGTGTGTGCGTACGTCCCTGTGTGTGTGTCAGTCCATGAGTACTTTGTGCTAAACAATAGATATATACTGCTATAGAGTCAGCATGCACTACTGTAGTGATAGCAGGAACCACCACAGTCAGTATCCACTGCTGTAATCATAGGTACCACCACAGTATGCACTGCTGTAGTGAAAGCAGGTACCACCACAGTATGCATTGCTGTAATCATAGCAGGTACCACCACAGTATGCACTGCTGTAATCATAGGTACCACCACAGTTTTGCACTGCTGTAATCATAGGTACCACCACAATCACTATGCACTGCTGTTATCATAGCAGGTACCACCACAGTATGCACTGCTGTAATCATAGCAGATACCACCACAATCACTATGCACTGCTGTTGTCATAGCAGGTACCACCACAGTATGCACTGCTGTAATCATAGCAGTTGCCACCACAGTCACTATGCACTGCTGTAGAGAACGCAGGTACCACCACAGTCGTAATGCACTCCTGTGGTGATAGCAGGTTCCACCACAGTCGTAATGCACTGCTGTAGTGAAAGCAGGTACCACCATGGTCAGTATGCACTGCTGTAGTGAAAGCAGGTACCACTAAAGTTGGTATACACTGCTGTAATCATAGCAGGTACCACCACAATCACTATGCACTGCTGTTATCATAGCAGGTACCACCTCAGTATGCACTGCTGCAATCATAGCAGTTGCCACCACAGTCACTATGCACTGCTGTAGAGAAAGCAGGTACCACCACAGTCGTAATGCACTGCTGTGGTGATAGCATGTTCCACCACAGTCAGTATGCACTGCTGTAGTTATAGCAGGTACTACGACAGTATGCACTGCTGTTATCATAGCAGGTACCACCACAGTCAGTATCCACTGCTGTAATCGTAGCAGGTACCACCACAGTCAGTACGCACTGCTGTAGTGAAAGCAGGTCACACCACAGTCGGTATGCGCTTCTGTGGTGATAGCAGGTATCACCACAGTCGGTATGCACTGCTGTAGTGATAGCAGGTACCACCACAGTCGGTATGCACTGCTATAGGGAAAGCAGGTACCACCACAGTCGGTATGCACTGCTGTAGTGAAAGCAGGTACCACCACAGTATGCACTGCTGTAATCATAGCAGGTATCACCACAGTCAGTATGCACTGCTGTAATCATAGCAGGTCCCACCAAAAGTAGGTATGCACTGCTGTTGTCATAGCAGGTACCACCACAGTCAGTATGCACTGCTGTAATCATAGCAAGTACCACCACAGTCAGTATCCACTGCTGTAATCATAGCAGGTACCAACCCAGTCGGTATGCACTGCAGTAGTGATAGTCGAAACTGCTATCCAGTTTGTAGATACTGCTATATAGAGTTAGTATATACTAAAACAGTCAGTAGATACTACTATACAGTCAGTAGATACTACTATACAGTCAGTAGATGCTACTACAGTCAGTTGATACTACTACGTTCAGTAGCTATTAGAGTCAGTAGATACTGCTATAGAGTTAGTAGATG